GCCCCCCCTGCCCCGGAGCCCAGGGCCAACGGCGGGAGCGGGAGAACTTCCCCCTCCCCTGGCTATTCGGGACGCCGGGGCTCGGCGGCCGCCTGTCCCGCGCCCCCGGGAAAGCTGCTTCCCTCAGCCAAGCTTTTCTCAAGTCCGAATCCTGCTGAGTTTAATGGCAAATTCATCAGAAAAAAAAATGAGAAGAAGAAAAGAAAAAAAGGAAAACGAAAAAAGAAAAAAAAAGAAAAAAGGAAGAAAAAAAAACAAGGAAAAAAAGCCTAGGAACAAGCACTGTTCGTGCGCGGGAGTCAGTAAATACAAACGGATAATATCTGCCACTTGCAGTTCCCCAAGATAAGTAAGAACTCAAAATAGCCCTGAATTAACATTTCTCTATCAGCCAGGAATCAAAAACCAGCACTAAAACACAACCCACAAGGTCTACCTAGGTCATAGGTACACTTCTACATTTTAATTTTACTGAAAATCTGTCAGAATAGTAACACTAAATGGTTTGCAGCACCCTTGTTTTGGTATATCATAATCTATATAATTACTGCATGTAAAAATATTTCTGCAAAAGCCTTTCAAGAAATACAGTATGAGCTTCATTAATTATTGGGGAAAAGCAGGATTCTGCTGGAGCCACATTAATTTCATCAAACATTTCATTATAATAATTAACTTCATCTTGCAATCATGCTACTGAAGGTCTGAATTAATTAAAACTACTGCTGTGTTTCCTTTCTATTTGTTGTGCCCTGGAAAAGATCAGATTACTGAATCCATCAGAACATTTACATTTATAAATCACGTATGTCATTCTTCATATAAAAATCCCAAACATTATCTTTTCTTATCTCTCACAACAAAGAGCCCCCTTTAATTATTAAACTGCCATCCCCCTGACTACAGTTATTTTTATTTAAACACAGAACAGTTAGCAAGGTAACTAGGCTGGGGTAGAACTCGCAGAGGACTGAGTACTACATTTCTGCATTTTTATAAGAATTATGACATTCTAGATAGGGGGGTAAAGGAAAAGGGAACTAAAACCCAGGAGTTTTAGGGGGATAAAGGAAAAGGGAACTGAAACTTCCCCTTTTTGTGCTGCTCTGCAGCTCAGCTCTGGGATTTCTACGGACACAAACCCGGTGCGGGCGGCAGCGAGCTCCGGCTCCAGCGTTTCACAGTCCGCGTGTCCGGAGCGAGCGCAAAGCCACCGGTGGACACAGCGCGGCAACCGTGGGACATCCTTGGGACATCCTTGGGACACATGGACACACGGACACAGCGCAGCAATCGTGGGACATCCTCGGGACATCCTTGGGACACATGGACACACGGACACAGCACGGCAACCGTGGGACATCCTCGGGACACACGGACACACGGACACAGCGCGGCAATCGCGCGGCCCGGACTGGAATCCCGGCAAAAGCCGGAGCTGAACACCGGGGTATTGCCTCCTTCCTGCAGGCTCCCTCCTTGCAATTCTGCTGCAGCCAAAGCTAAGTTATTTAAGGGCATTTTAAAGCAGGAACGAGACGTTTACAAAATGGACTCATGCTCTGGCGCAACCTGAGCTCTTCTCGGTTTGCACGCGTTGGCTTCAGATTTTCTCTGACTTGCCGGTCAGCTACGAATTTTTTGCATGCTTTTGTTAGAAATACATTTTTCTGCCCTCCGCTTGTTCTTTTGTTTATGCAGATATGCCCCCTGCTTGTGAGCCCGTCGTGCCATTAGGACGGCATGACTCATTAAAGTTGGGCTGAACTAGTCTCTCGGCCTCGAACTGCGCTCAATTTGAGGTCTGTGAAACTCCCAACTTGGATTGCTCATCTTGAATCCATTTTTGGTTTCAAGCTTCAAAGAACTTTACAAACATTAGCTAATTAATCCTCGCAGTACCCTATCATCTGCACAGAGGGGAAAGCTTACCGCATCTTTTGGGCTAACATTATCATAATCGTATTAATTCCATGTAATACCTCTCCCACACACCCACATCTGCACACGGGCATTTCTATAAAATGCCTATTCGGGTTTTATTGCTTTTTCTCAGCAGCCTCCCAGATCGCCCCCAGCCTCAGGCCTCTCTTAAACACAGACAGAACCTGAGCCTGCAGCCTGGCATCGGGCTGCCCATGCAGCACCCACAACCCGCACGTCAGCTTCCTTCGGCTTTGGTGGCACCGGGGCACGGACACGAGCTTCTCCCTTGGGCCTTGTTAAATAGAACCTGTGTTCCACAACCCCCCGCACCACAGGGCAAGGTCCCTTGAGCCCGGACCCTTAGGAAAACCATCCTACCCACCCCAGCATGCGGCGCTGCCGAAGGGATGTCCCCCTCGGCCACTTCCATTCGGTCTGCTGTGATATAGATCCAGCTGAACTGCAGACAAAATACCTAGCATAACTCTAGGCTGGGACTTATTACCCTCCGCTGCGGTTTGCAGAATGACTCCGATGTTCCGGGGCTGGTAATTAGATCCTTTCTGCCGTGAGAAGGCCGCGGGGCGCGCGCCAGCCTCGGGCTGTGCACGCGAAGCCGAGGGCCCTGCCGCCCTCGTCGCCCTCCGGAGCCGGAGCCGCTGTCCCAGTGGGAGCTGCGGCCCGTGGGCCGGCTCGGGACCACGTCGGGAGCTCTTTGCACCAACCTCCTTCGTGCACCGACACGCGAAGCGCCCTGCTGCGCTCGCAAGGAAGACCCAGCTCCTTCGAGGGAAGCTCTTCCACAACAGGGAAGGCCGTGCTTGGCAATCGCACCGTGTGCTGCCCCTTCACACCCTGCTCCCTCCTCCTCGGGGAGCTGCCCACGCAATCCAGCGGGATGCCCTTGGTGGCCAAGCGAAGCCTGAACCCATCCGTGAGCCTTGCGGGAAGACCGGAGCCCCCGCGTTCCTGCGTTAACTCCCAACGAGAGAGTTGAGGCAGCAGCAGGTACAGGACGGGGCTCCAGCCCCAGCCGCCCTGGCTCTGCATCACCCACACGTGCCCTGGGACGCTGTGGTTTTGCTCTGCACCACCCTCCCGCGCATCCCCGCAGGGCGAGGGGAGCCCCGCAGCCTGGGGACACCCCGCGTCGTTACCTGGTCATTAACGTGACACACGGCCAGGTTCTGCTCATCACAGGAACAGGCCACGCGGATGTACTTCAGCCAGTTCCCAGCTCCGCTCTGGCTGGCATCAACACAGAATTTCTCATTTCCCAGGTCATCAGCAATCTGTAGAAGAAGAGGAGGTGGAAAACGGGTCATCTGATGCCAAGCGATAGATACAGAGAGAAGAAAGAAAAGAGAATTATTTACAGTGCAGGATCCAAATGGGAAGAAGAAAGCTTGATGGTATGTGTAATAAAGACATTCAACTAGATTAAACCCAGTTTGAGCCCCCCGGGCAGCAGACGCCCCATGGACACAGACCCCGGCTCTCCGCGGGTGACGGGATCGGGGTCCAAAACCCTCAGCAGCTTCAAGGGTCAGAACAGAGCAACTTCTCCCAGCCTCATTTGCCTTCACCTCCTCCATCTCCATACTTTATCCTCTGATGTATGAACATTTTTTATTACAAACTTTAAACTTTTTTCTTTCAGTGACCATTTCAAAACAGGTCACTTTCCATAATGCCATGAAATCCTATTTAAAACAATGCTGCAACCAGTGCTACTCCCATCGAGGTCTCTATAGCACTGCAGCCCGGTACGATGTGGCTAGTGGGTAAGTGATGCTCCTTCCCATCAAAACGCCCTTACAAATACGGAAAATCCAGGGGCTGTCTCTAACCCTGCCCTCCTTTTCGCAGTATTTTCTGTGTTCCAGACTGCGCAGCCCAGTACGATGTGGCTAGTGGGTAAGTGATGCTCCTTCCCATCAAAAGGCCCTTACAAATACGGAAAATCCAGGAGCTGTCTCTAACCCTGCCCTCCTTTTCACAGTATTTTCTGTGTTCCAGACTGTTTTGGTCGAAGGCACCGCAGCTAGTGAGAATTCAGAACTCAGCTCAAATGCACCAGCCGCTTTGCAAGGCCCCTGCACGAAGCTCTGCGCAGGATGAGGTCCTGCCTTAGCTAGAAATCACCTGAAACTCAGTGGTTTTATCTGAGTGGGGCTTTAAAACCCAAACTGGGGGTGTGAAATCTCACAAATCATAATGAGAAAAAAAAAGTTTCATGAAACCCTGGGAACTTAAGCCCCTGTTTTTCACACACACTTACTCTACTCCATAAATAAAACAAAATACGACGAACCAGAGCCAGCATTGCCACTGAACTGTGCTGCACATGGAGCTGGGCCCTTCTGGGAAGAACTCGCAGATCCCGAGGAATCAGGAAACACGCAGGGAAGAGCAGTAACAGTCAAGGCTCCTTCTTCAAGACCCCTCATGCAGGATCAGGTCCCTCCTCGTGTCTGCCTTGAGATGCCCCTTCCTCTGCATTCAAACTGCACCAGGCACAGGGGTCCTGATCCCGGGATTTACTGCCAGGTAAATAACATACACCATGGAAAGCTGCTCCTGAACTCTCTGCCCTCTGGACATCTCTCTAATCCCAAGGATCACTATTTGTCCGACTAACCGCGGTCATTTTTAGTGCATGTCCACCACCAGCAGCAGGGAGGGCAGTAGCAGACACAGGTTGACTACTTAGCCACCATATTCAGCAGTCACTAGTTACTTGGTGCAAAAATGGAACCAGCAGGAACAGCCCATCTCATAAATCTGGCCTCTAAATGATAACTGTTGCATAAAAATGCCAACATTTGCAAACACGTTTTGACTTTCCCCTAGAGCTGAAGTGAGAAATAAAGATGATATCTCCAAGGATGGCAGAGAGGGTGTTTTTACCGTAAATGTTCACTTGCCGTGATGCTTTTCTGCTCGCCCAACACAGGGCCCAGGTGTTGGAGTGGGATGGCCGTTCTCAGCCCGCTGAGACGCGGTGCCTCGAGCAGAGGAGCAGAGGCACCCGGGTCACAGCAGCGCTGTGGTTATCACCTCCCACGAGACCCACATCACCCACCCACGCGCCTCGCCGATGCTCTGGAGGAAAGTCACATTGCGATTTTAAAAATACTGCAAAATCCAATACCGATCACAAAGCAAAAGCATGAGGTGCACTTTTCCCCTGTCAAGCATCTGCACACGCAGAATAATCTTCTAAGCCCCTCTTCTCCCCCTTAAAAAACTGCAGAAAAACAGAAGCTGAAAACTTTTGCTGTATCTTCTTGCCGTTCAGATGGGAAGAAAATCAGAAATTTCCTTAAAGTAACTGCTTACAGCACTGTCAGTAACAGCCCGGATTTTCTGCTGCCAGTTGTGTTTCTGTAACGCACAGAAGCTTTGGTTCTGTTTATGTTTTTGCAAGAAGCAGGACGAGCAGTAAGAGGCCAGTGGTTTGACGGGGAGCTCCAAAGGAAGGAAAAGGGGGACACGAGAAGGGACTTCACAGGTGGCAGGTGGCAGCCTGCGAAGACGCTGCCGTTCGCTGCATGTCCCCGTCCTTCCCCGCTGCGGCCCGTCCGGTTAAGGCACAGGGACCTTCACGTCCGTTTGGAGCGAGAGGCTTTAAAGCTCCCGGCGGCAGCGACACGGGCTGCGGATCCGGCCCTGGAGCGGCGCCGCGCCGCGGCCCGGGCTCATCTCCACGCAGCCAGCAGGAAATGCTTGGCATGTTCCAGGACTCACTTTGCAGCTTCATCTGCTTTCTGCCCAACGGCCTTCAGGATCCGAGCCCAAAAGCCTCATTGATCTTGCAGAGACTCTACTTCATAATTTATTAACATCAAAAATGCTGAGTTATGAAGCAAAAGTTATGGAAAAATTCTCTTGAACATTTACAATTTTTTTTGCACATCATTTGAGGTTTCCTGCCTCTCTAATTTGCGGGCTCTCTGTTGGGCTGTTTCTTTCACGTTGTAATGGGCAGAGTCCAACATTTGGCCTCGGCAGAGGTGTGCTGCAGCGCTCGGATGCCTGCGGATCTGTCGTCAGCTGCCTTAATGGATTCCTAGTGTGCACGAAGAAACGGAGCAACCACGAGCTTGCCATCAGTGACCCGGCGTCCTGTTGCTATAACATCTCTCCCCAGAAGCTGAAAGTGTAATAAACCTTCTCATCCCATAGTTGCAGGATCTGCCTTTGACAGCTTGGCTGATGTACGAATTTTATTTGGCAGGAGTTAGAGGGAGATTTTTTTTTTCTTTTTACTTTAATGACTCACAAGCTGATTTAGAGCAATAAACTGTTGCCATGAAGTTTTGTTGTGTTTCTTTTAAATAAAGGGGAAGGGGGGGCTGCTACAATTTATGACTTTCAGAAGTAACTGAAACAGAAAGTCCATTCTTGCCACAAAACGCAGAGAAAAAAAAAATTCATCCAGAGAAACACCTCTGCCAATGTGTAGACACGGAGCCTGGATGGGCTCGTAAATCCAGCACTCTGCCTGCAATTAAGCAGGCTTCCTGGTGACTTGACAAAGAGTTAATGAGAACCGTGTCAGGCACGGCCAGGCCGCGGCGCGGGGCAGCGCTGCTGGGACCGGCGCGTCCGCAGGGCCCGGGGCCGCTCGGAATTCGGAGCGGCTCCTCGTGCGCCCAGGACGGGCAAGCGGAGCGGGGAACCGGCCTCCTGGGTCGAGGAGTGGGCGCAGACCCCCCCAGACCCTCTGGAAGGTCCACCCGTTGCCAGCTGCTCTTCTGCTCGATCCCATGTTGGGGTACGGGCCACGCGCGTCACCCTCCTGCACGAGGAGTGTTGGCGAAGCCCGGGGACACCGAATGGCCGTGCAGTAAAACACGAGGTGAAAACGGCAGAACAGAGGAGGACTCTGAGGATGAGGGCAAGCGTTCACCTCAACAAAAGCTCCGTTTTCACCAGTAACGTAATTCATTTCACGCTGATTTAAACTAAAGAGTAAACCATAAAAAACTAGGCTGGACTCGAACCACAGGGTGATGTAGACACAAGCCCAAGAGGGATTTCCAGGTCTTTGCAACATGCACACGAATTTTGAAGCTTTACGGCACCGCTTTGCCCCCAAGCTTTACGCTGCTGCCTGCTCCTGGTTCTCCCTGGGGGCTTCTCGCAGCTCCGCAGAGGAATCCCGGGATTCACCACGTGTTCCCAGGAGCCGCGGCGTCACCCTACACATGGCGCAGTGGGAATCCGAGCAGGAAAATCCATTCCTGCCTTTCTTTGCGCTCAAAAGGTGCCAGTGCAGCAAAGAAAAGGCAGCCCAACAGGCACGAGTTCTGCTCTGCTTCTTTAGGTGCATTTGGGGAATCCTCCAGTCAGTATTCATGGAGGTTACTGCTGCTTGTTTTAAATTATTTCTTGTTACTCCATCTTTACTTTAATGATGTTTGGGGAACGGAGCTGTGGAACACCACGAGCATGTCGACCTCTTCAGCCTGATTTATGGAAGCACTGAGTGCCAAAACCATTTGCCACATTTCACACACTGGCCAAGAAAGTAGCACTGCACTTGAAGTAAAGCCTTCTGGTGTCCATTCATCCTGCTAATATTAATCACTACACACCGGCCCTTCTGCAGCTCCAGCACAGTCCACCCAAGGGTCTCGCACGAGCAGATCCATAGGAAACCACGTTGTCTCTGGATTCGGGAAAGCCTCTTCTCCAGAGGAACACGATGCTGTTTGACGGTCTTGGCAGCTCCTCTACCTTTTCCTGCAAACCCTGCGCCCTCCAATTGTGCTTGATCATTAATAATATATGAAACAAATTATAACATCAATTATCCAGACACCCCGGGGAAAGGCGAACACATTGGGATAGCTGATGCTCTTGAAATTAGATGTGTTTTCAATTTAATTAATAGATTTGGGGAGACATGGCCCGAGCTCAAGCAACAGGAAGATTCAGATAACGGATGCCAAGTCACGGGGCAGACGTGGTGCACATGAGGCTGCCTCGGGCCTCTCGAGCCGGGGAGAGGTTTGATCCCAAAGCTCCCGTGCTGCTCCATCTCCTGCCCAGGAGCCTCCGTGCGGGAGCACCGGCCTCCGTGGCCCTTCCAAGGGGCCGGGGCTCCCTGCGGAGGGCTCGGACACGAGCCGTCCTCTCCCGCAGGCCAACGGAGACACTGTCGCACCGCGGGCGCCGCTCTGGCCGACGTGTGATCCCTTCGGAGCTGCTATCTACCAAAGACGATACCAAGAGGAGGTGCAAACCGGAGGCGGCGAGCGGGGCCAGTTGGGCTGCAACCCGC